TTGACTTGTTTGCTTAGGCAAGCACTACTCACATTTTCTAGTTATCTCTTCAGAAAACCTGTTTTATTTCCCTTGCAGGATTTTAAGTCATAGAAATTACTATTGCTCCCATAAAACTGGTATATGAATCTAAATGAATGATGCTGTATCTCTTTTAATACTGCTTTATGTCGTGAATGTAGTGACGGATGACTTTACATTGCTCTTTTGAGCATCTCAGGGGCCAGGTTCTACTATTCAAACCCAGAATATAAAAGATATCTGTGATCTTATATCAAATAGAAATAGTCAATTCTGCCAACAAGCTCATCCAACTGGCTCAACAACATTCGGGGTTTACAAAAAACTTTCATGTTCCTTGTCGCAGACTTCAAGGAAATGCGTGTGTTTGCGATTTTCACAGATATGTTTGAGAGGTAATGAAATATTGTTGCAACAGCTAGGATGATTACAATGCTTTATTTAGGCCGGTACACCCCCTCAACGCTGTATTATAGCCTGCATTGAAAAATCCATCTCGCGCTGCCATGAATAATTTTGACAAAAAGGAATGTTAATCAATTTGAGGCAGAGTTGTGAAATGCTGACACTTTGTTTGCCTTCAAACTGTTGCGAGACACTGGAATTAATTTCATCATTTTTTTTTCTGGCTCAGACACAAAGAGGGTAGCACCTTTGTGCTTTTAAGCAGCGCTTATCATATTGTTTCACTTCAGGACCAGTGTTGGGTGTAACTAATTACTAAGTAATTAGTTACTGTAATTTAATTACTTTTCCCTTGAAAAAGTAAAGTAAGGGATTACTCTTATTTTTTCTGTAATTTAATTACAGTTGTTTCTTATGTAATTGAACTTAATACTGTGTATAGACTGTAGAACATTTATACACAATATAATAGTGGATTTAACATCAAAATGTAAAGTCTAACCTTAAAATGCATGCTTTTTATGTACCCTTCTCACTTTAAATACTTTGGTGAGTTAATAAGAATATTGGTAACACTTTAGTGTCCAATTCTCACTATTAACTTGTTGGTTATTAGCATGAATATTACTGGGATATTGGCTGTTTATTATTACTTAAAAAGCACATATTAATGTCTTATTCTGCAAGACCTTATTCTAAATCCTTAATCCTACCCAATTCTTAAACTTAACAACTACTTTACTAAGTATTAATAAGCAGTAATTATGTTTATTATTACTTAAAAAGCACATATTAATGTCTTATTCTGCAAGACCTTATTCTAAATCCTTAATCCTACCCAATTCTTGACCTTAACAACTACTTTACTAAGTATTAATAAGCAGTAATTAGGAGTATATTGAGGCAAAAGTCATAGTTAATAATTAGTTAATAGTGAGAATTGTACCCTAATCTAAAATGTGACCAGAATAATTTATGTAGTTACTTGAAAGAATTAAAAGAACCATTTCATGTCTATCCTTGTATCAACTTGTTGAGGTTGATATAGGATTTAGAAAGTAATTCGTAATAAGTAATTAAATACTTTTTGGAGAGAGTAAATTGTACAGTAATCTAATTACACTGCAGAAGATGTAATTAGTAACTAGTAATTAATTACTTTTTTAGAGTAAATTACCCAACACTGTTCAGGACCCAGGTTTTACTTTGGAAAAGTACTCAAATTGTTTTTAAAAATTATAAAAATAGCCTTTAAATGAAACATTGAAATGTATTAATACTGAAAGTAGTGAGTTTTAATTAACGTGTTTTTTTTAATGTAAAAGATATGGGAAGCATTTCATTAAAAAAATGGATGTAAAGGCAATAAAAATGAAAATTTGCTGAAAATTTACTCACCCTCAGGCCATCCAGGATGTATATAAGTTTGTTCTTCATCAGGACAGATTTGTAGAACTTTAGCTTTATATCAGTTATATCCGTTTCTCACCAATGGATCCTCTGCAGTGAATTTAAACAGCTGATAAAAACATCATAAAAATCCACAAGTGATCCACACCACTTCAGTACATCAATTAACATCTTGTAAATGAAAAAGCTGCTTCTTTTAACCATTTAAATTTTAATTTAGCATTTTAAGTTTAAACTGGTCCCTTCTGGCCAATACTAGCACAAGTCCCTGTTGTCCTCTTACATCAAAATCCACTGACATATTTGTTTAGAGCTGTTTTTAACTGCTTTCGCTTGTAAACTTGATCTGTGCATATTTCTCACATGATTCAGATGAGACCATTTTCACTTAAGCAATATAATGGATTATGGACTCGTATTTTAGCCAGATGTAATTGTTTGAAGTAAAAAAAAAAAAAAAAGTTTTTGTGATGCTTTTATCAGCGTTTTTTACTCTCATTCTGACGGCACCCATTCACTGCAGAGGATCCATTGGTGAGCAAGTGACGTAATGCTAAATTTCCAAATCTGTACAGATGAAGAAACAAACTTCAAAAACTAACTCTTAGATGGCCTGTGGGTAAATATGTGAGTACATTTTCATTTTATGGAAAAACTTTTCCTTTAAAAATTATAAAATTTTCTAGCCTAATGATTTTATGATTAATTGCATTTTATTATTTGCAATAAGCATTGTTTTTGTTGTTGTTGTTTTCCTTTTGTCTAAACAGAACAGACCTGTGGTGCAATTTTGGGTTGTGACTTACCAACTGAAAACTTCACAACATGGACAGTATCGCGAGCCGATCTACATGGTAAACATATTTAATATGCAGGTTGTGATGAGGAGATGATGTCAAAAGATGAGAGGGACAAAAGGTGCTCTCCTTTTGTTACACTCCCTTTGGCCAGCTATTAATGAAGCACTCTACTGTGATTCATAATAAACACAATGGCCTGTTCTTACAAGCTCTCAGATTTCTCGGATCATGTCAGATGAGCATAACAGCGAAGGATAGAAGCAGAAAGGATAACATCTTTACTGCTCCAGATCCTTTGTTATATCTTGAAAAGGAGCTGAAATTGGCTTACATTAAGGAGGACAGTGCAAAATATGGAAACGTTCATTAAAGTAATTTAGCAGTTGAACAAAGGGGTCCTGGCCTACATGTAACCCTGATTTATTTCACCCTCATGCTGTATTCATAAATGTGTTCTATATATAGCAAATTTAGGAGTTTTATCCTCCAAGATGAGCTCAGACTACACGGGTATGACAATGTCAACCGAGAATACATTTTGTAATACTTACATACAGCACACCATATGTAATCTGCAAGTCTTTTCATATTTTTCCACTGAGAATTGTATGAGGATATAACTACCGTTTATCTGTTAGTTTTAATAACCTATTTGAAGAAACACCCACACGTGTTTTTCTGCAAAACGGATAACATCTTTACTGCTCCAGATCCTTTGTTATATCTTGAAAAGGAGCTGCAATTGGCTTACATTAAGGAGGACGTTGGAAATATGGAAACGTTCATTTAAAGACATTTAGCAGTTGAACAAAGGGGTCCTGGCCTACATGTAACCTTGATTTATGTCACCCTCATGCTGTATTCATAAATGTGTTCTATATATAGCAAATTTAGGAGTTTTATCCTCCAAGATGAGCTCAGACTACACGGGTATGACAATGTCAACCGAGAATACATTTTGTAATACCTACATACAGCACACCATATGTAATCTGCAAGTCTTTTCATATTTTTCCACTGAGAATTGTATGAGGATATAACTACCGTGTTTATCTGTTAGTTTTAATAAAGTAGTTGAAGAAACACCCACACGTGTTTTTCTGCAAAACTATTTTGGCTGTTTTTCCAGCAAATACTTCAACAGCAGATCTAGGAAATATTAGGGATAATTTTAGCAACAGCTGCGTAGATCCTGCAGCACAGATAAGGGAAGAGGGAGCGAATAGAGGCAACACATATGGCAGGACTTACAACACTGACATATAACACTGAATTCTATAGAACACTAGCAGCAGCATGATTCAAACAAAAACAAAAAATCCATAATGAGATAAAGCAGGAAAAGTAAGATTACTTTTCTGATTTAAATCATGTTTTCAAACACTTCCTGGAGCTCAAAAGGTGATGTTCAAGAACAATCACCTATTGTTACTGGCATAATTGCATAGATTTTCCCCAATTATTTATTAAATCAGATTGATTAAAAATAGAACATTCTCTCACATCACCCCCAAGGCTCTGTGTTAAACTGTATTTAATTTTGAGACATCATTATTCATCTGCTTGTTTTGTGTCAGTAATAATCCTTATTATGACAAAGCAAAGAAGATAAATGCTTTTTCATCAAAATACATGCCCCAGACATAAGCCATGGCAGACTGCCATATCAAATTCATAACTCTTCAAGTAGTGCAGTGTAGTGTTATGATGGTGATAAAATCCTACCATTGTTCTGATGAAAATACTGACAATTGCCTGGTTTCAATCCTCCACTTTTGAGGCTAATCTTTCAAAATCTCTTTGGTGACTATCAGTTTGGTAAATCATATTCAAATTGTCTATAAAGTACGTTAAACTGATCTTTCCCAACCAGAAGTCTCAGCGTTTATGGATAGCTCTTGCATATCGCAATGCAGTATTTGACTTTAAAAACTTAAATGCTGAGCTTGAACAGATCAATCCCATAACACCAGACACTGAAACCTTTCATGAATAACATTAACAAACATTATTCAATCACTTACCCTTGTGCCGTTCCAAACCTGTATGAATTTCTTTCCTCAGTGAGGAAAAAAATCAATGACATGAGTTTTATTTTGACTGATTTCTTTAACAGATACACATTTAAAATACCAAGAGCCTTTGGCTCATATATTTACCTTAATAGTAATATAGTATGCTCTGATCTATTAAGCATTATTTAGCTTTCCATTAATGGAAGTTAGAATAGCGTTACCGCCACCAATCACCAGTAATGTCAGTCTAATGCGCATCAGCGCCCTCTGTCCTCACAAGTAGGAACTACACGGACATTCCAAGCCGAATATCTTTGAGTCGCTCTTCCTTGAGTCTCATGGACTCAGCCAATCTGAATGCTGTGACGAGGAGAGGCAGGATCCCAATATTTAACACACAGGGCACTGATACATCTACACCTGTCACTGACTGCTCCTCATGAAGAACTAATGCACTTTATCTCCCTCCTCACATGCTGAAGATATCCACACATGGGACTGCCGATCCGACATCCGTGCGGCTCTTGAGAAGTCAGAGGCGATTTCCTCGTGTTTTGTCATTATTTACCGGGACATTTTACAGATGCGCATTATCATGAACCTGTAAGGATGCGACAGGACATCTGAACCTCACCTAAAATCAAAATCGCGCTACTCGCAACTATGCCGAAAAGAAATCGTTCTTGATACATCTGGGAACCGCAGGATGCAGAAGAAGATTTTCGCACCTATTTGAACATGGATCTCCCATCATAACGCGGATTACAGTAGGACACCACATGCGCCCCTGAATCTTTTTATTATAGCCTGTATCATATTGTGGCAAGTGCTTTAGGTATAAAGATGATCCTATTTCGTAAATTTCGCGTGTTGATTTTAATGGTGTTTCTCGTCGCCTGCACCATGCACATCATGATAGACCTGTTACCCAAGCTGGAGAAGCGCGCGGCGGGATCGAGCTCCAGCGCTGGAGGTGGAGGCGGCTGCTCCTGCGCTCACACACCGGGCGAGGAGCCTCGATCCTGGGCCAAACAGCGCGCCAGAGCCGCCGCCGCCGAACCGGGCTGGCCTAATAAACACTCTTTGAGACTACTGCAGGATTTCAGCAATGAACCCAACTCCAACCTCACTTCGCACTCGCGGGAGAAGGTGACAGAGAGAGCCGAGTCTGAAAAGAGAGCGAGACAGCTGCAGCTGGGCTCGGAGAAGAGGGTTTTGATGAGAGATACGGTGAGCGGACAGAAGCAGAGAGCTGTCCAGGGTTCCTCCAGACTGAAGGCGCTCTATGAGCATCCCCTCTATAAGACCGACCTGCCTCATCTCTCTGAAGATGACACCTTGTTCAACCTCAACAATGATATCAGATTCTACCCCAAAGCTGCCGGACAACAAGAATGGCAAGTGCTTCTTTAAACCTGGCGTGAAACACATGCTGTTATATGTATAAAAATGAGCTTTGAAGTCCCGGTTATGTGCATAATTAAAAGAAACCGGGTCCTGGAGAAGATTTCATATTTCAAACAAAGATACTTTTTCTTAAATCAGTGTTAATAAACAGCAGGTTTCATTGTGACAACCACATATTCTAGTGACAGCATGCCTTGCTAAAGGATTCACAATGTTTTGTTTGTTGACAAAACCAGGTATGTCTGGTATATGAAAATGAACCTGTGCTGAGAAATATTCACAGCATTAAAAATTGTGACAACTTGCCCCAGTCTTCCTTCTAAAGAGATAATATAAAGAAAAGCATTAAAGGTGATTGCTCATATTTTATCCCAAAGCAGCTGGAAAAGAAGAATGGCATGAATGCATATTTGTATGCATATGAAATGTTATTTATATCCCAGTTATTTGTATAATTAAAATATGAATGGAGACTGGTTCTAGTTAAGTTGTCACAACTATATGATTTATAGTCAAAAATCCAATTAGACAAAAAGGGAGTTTTATCTTGCAGCGTTTTTGTTTTTGTTTGTTTGTTTTTGTTTTTTTTAAATGTTGGTATTAACCAAATGTCATATTAAGATAATTGGGATAATTTGTGTTGTTTAATTAATTGTTTTGTATTTTGTGGTTTCTTGTTTAAATTTAGCTGAAAAGTATGTTAAATACTCTAAATAGAGATAGCCTGTGGAGAAATACTTTTTCACTTTAGATAGTAGATATATTTGTGTCGTCACCCATCGTGACAACATACCCCGGTATAGTTTTATAGTCAAAAACCTACTGTATGTGTATATACAGAAACTGAGAACAGTGTTGAAAATGTGTTTATCCTAAATCACCAGGGAAATTAAGAGCTTCACAAACAACTTTCAGCTAAGAAGAAATTTTTTCACATCACACCCAGGGGTCATCATTTTCTCATTTTGAGTAAGTAATAATCATAATAAAGTCAGATTCTCAATGGAAATAGAGATTAAAAGCAATAATTTAGGAGAGAAGTACATGTGTTTTTAAATCTAGTGGTAAAAATAAGAGCGCATATGTCGTGGAAAGAAATGATAATGTGGCTTGGGTGCTTTTTATAATTTCCAGTTCATACTGACTCATTGTGAGTGTTAAAAGCTTTGCTGCTAGGACTCATCTATGTTCCTCTGGTGTGATGTGTTGTTTTCTTCAGAGCTGTCAGATGCATTAAGCTGAAGGGGTTTTTGTTGGTGTCATGCCCTTTGTTTCTTCCTGTGTCCTCTCTTTTTGTTCTTCACACGGCAAGCTCTCACGTCCTTCAGGCATAGCTTATTCTCACTGCCTATAACCATGCCTGAATTAACTAAACATGCCTTTTAACCATGCCTGACTGATCCGGATCCAGATCCAGATGAACTGAACATGAATAGTTGAGTTAAAAGGCTGATTTAACAGTGTTTTGTTAATCACTGAAAATGCATGTGACAAGCTTGTCATCCAGATGCTGTCACATTACTGTATAATATTCCTTTTCATGTTTTGATGGGACACAATGTTTTAATAGACTGATTTGTTGTTGTGAGGTCAGGGGCCTCAGGGAAATGAAGTACAGCTGATGTATTCAGTCATTCCACTGTCATCACAGTATTATATGTGCATGGCATCAGTCACATTCAAACATGCTCATTTTTAATATCATTTCAATAAAAAAATAAAGCATTGAACAATTTAAATAAAACATAAAAAGACTGCTCTTCAGATAAATGCAGAGTAATTTTAACTCAAATGAAGCTGATTTTCGATTACATTGAAAACCGTGCAGATTTATATGTTAAAGCAGTTGTAAAGTACTTGATTTTTACTTGATATTTTAAATATACGAAATGGCAACTTCATCATAACAAATGTGTAATTATAGTATAAATACATGAAGCTTGAATACATCAAGTTTCAATAGAAATGACATTCAAAGTATATTATATCCATAATAAGTGCTCTGTTTGAAAGCTGATGTGTACTTCTTTTGGCTAATTCAGTTTTGCTTTTAGTGAGAAATGAAAATTAAGTATTTCCAGCTTTGTTTTATCATGTTGAAATCCACTGAACTGATTTCCCAAGCAAATCAATGGAAAATGTATACAGAATCGATCTGGGTCTAGTAATTATATAGACACTTACACTGCAATATTATACTGCTGTAGTTCAAATATAAATATATCAAGATTTCTTCAATAACAGTTACAAAGTTTGATGTTTTCCCCTCATTTGAATTTCTCAAATGTTAAAAAGTTATTGTATGTTTAAAAATAAATTCATATGTATTTTTCGTATTGTCAGACAGCATGTGTGTTGGTAGTGACTAATGTCCTCCACCGTCCTTTACCGGCAGGCATAACGAGGGGAACGTGGAGGAGGAGGAGTACAGTCCAACAGGGGAGGCCACTGCTGAGTCATATCCCAACTGGCTCCGCTTCCACATCGGAATTAACCGACACGAGCTCTACTCCAGACACAACCCCGTCATCGGCGCCCTGCTGAAAGACCTGGTCTCCCAGAAGATCACCAGCGTAGGTGAGTTTGGGTACAGGACCTGCTCCTGTGTAATGGAGCAGCCTAGCTGAAGTGGGAATGCTCTAGGCCCTGTGCTGCCATCCCAAAAGCAATAATTGCCAAGTGGTTTAGAGCTATTATAGGAATGACATGAGCCAAGTAGGTCAATGATTTGCAAAGTGTAATTGTGGTTGGATTACAATGAATTTTATTGGCTAGATGGGCTTTTTTGGATGTATGTGCAATGTACTGTTTGTGTTTGTGTGTGGAATGGGGAAACTGGGATTGTTTGAGAATATTTGCGGATTTCCATTAATGGAGTACACTGTCTCATTACTTTTTAAAAGCATTAGATGCACAAATCCCACATTTTTAGCAGTCAGAACTGTTAGATTTGACATAAATTATAAAGTAACATAAGATTATTATCTAACATAACATGAATATGGCTTGTTTTAATAGGTTAAACCCTTCTAAATACTGTGCATTTGTATTCAAATATTACATTTAAAATGTAAAAATAAAAGCTTATCAATAAAGCTACCCATTTTACCAAAGCTATTTTAAGAACTAGGTTAAACAAATGAAATTAATGTATTAGTGAACTATAAATAAACATTTTGTCCTAAACTAGTTTGCCCCTACTTATTTATAACTTTATTTTGGCTAAATCTCCAACCCTGTTACCAATTGGGTGCATAAAAGAACCTTTGTTTAATTTAGAAAATCTCGAAAATAAAAATGCAAAACAAATCATACAAATCTGGGTTGGTAAAAGTCCTAAATTATGGTAACAAAGTCACAAATCTCTTAAATAAAGCCCATTTCCACCATATACTTAAGTCATAAAAAAATTATGACATACTTAAGTCATAATTATGACATAAAAAGTCAAAATTGTTGCTTAAAAAGTCAACATTTTGACGATGAAATTATGACATACTAAATCAAAATTATGACTTTACAAGTCAAAATTATGACTTAACTTGGTCTTACGTCATCGCAAAATGGTGGTCTAATGAATTGTGAAGAGTAGGAATATGTGGGATATTCTAAAAATACTTAATGTGACTTAAAACTGTAACATTGGAGGACCAAGTTCAGTGCACACCTTATTAATAAAGTATACCGTTTACAGACAAGCAGAATAAATTGCACAGTAGCATTTTCTAACCCATAGAAGCTTAATGGAAGAAGACAGTGATATACAAATCACTGATATACTGTAATATCTGCTTGCCTGTACACAGTATATATTTTAAATAAAGATTTGGACTTTTTATATCACCGTCTTCTTCCATTAAGCCACGTTAAGTGTTTCGTTCTTCATAACGGTTTTATATGGGGAAGAAAATGCTCAACGTGCAAATTCAATGCATTGCGTTCATATTTTGGGGTATATTCTGCTTGTCTGTAAACAGTATGCTTTATTAATAAGGTGTGTACTGAACTTTGTCCTCCAAACTGTTTTAAGCCAGTTAATTTTAGGATGTCCCACATATTACTCGTCACAATTCATTAGACCACTTGTGTTGTGTCAGACCAATATAAAGTGATTAAGTCATAATTTCTACTTGTAAAGTCATAATTTCGACTTTTAAATTTATTTCTGTTATGACAACTCTCGGAGGGATTGGCATGGTAATGTACATGACAATGTTAATGTATTTGGTCTTGGCAGAATAGATCTGCTACGCTGCTGCTGCTGCAGAGCAAATATCGAGACTTACTACTGCCAATACTTCCACAACATGCTGCTGTGAGCATGTAAGAAATATTGCTGCTGCAAATATAACATACATGAAATAACCCCCATATAGCGTACATAAATCACCTCGTAGCAGATCTATACAGGTGGAGCTGGGGAAGGTGGAGGGTTTCTGAAGCAAGCTGCAACTGCTACGGCAAGCACTAGTCATATATTTTAATGTTGAGCAGTGAGCTCATTGGCTACCGATACAGGAGAGAACCAATCAGCTGTGCCATGTGATAATGATGTCATTAGGTCAGATTGAGTTAGACCTATCGGACTGCGCCATCTAGAGTTTCATGCCAGAACTCTGTATATTTTCGACTTTTCATTTCATAATTATGACTTTTGTGTGTCATAATTTCCATGACTTTTTTCTCATAATTATTTTTAAAATCATCATTTCAACTTTTTATTTCATAATTATGACTTTTAAAGTAATCATTTCTACTTTTTATTTCATAATTATAACTTTTAAAGTCATCATTTCGACTTAGCAAGTCATCATTTCATTTTTTTTCACCCCATAATTAATGACTTATGAATATGTCATAATTTCGACTTTTCAACACATGAATTTTCTTCTTATGTGGCAGAAATGGGCTTCTATACTTACTAAAATAATATAATGCTAATATAATATTTAATATAATATAATATTTAGTCTGAGGTTGACATTTCTAAAGGATAAGCAGCCTTTTTCCCTCTTCATTTGCTGAAAAAGGAAACATTTGACTTCAGTTTGAAGAGTTTCAGACCGTATTTTGTCCCCTATTCGTGGACAGTGCCATTTGGAAGTATTTTATTTAGAAGCTTGTAAGGTGTACAGAATGATCCGCATAGACATGTTTATGTGTGTATGTATGCACTCAGGCACTTGAGATGGCTAGTGAACATCAGGACCTATTTCTGTAGGCAGAATGATGGCAGAAGCGGCACACGCACACATCCTTTTATTCCCAAGAGAGAGTATGATTGACAACTACTCTTCCTCCATTAGTCTCTGAAAGTCCACCTGAAGATCTTACGTGACTTATTTTTTCCAGCCCTGTGCAGTGTGAGACGTCTGTATTGTGATGCTCTTATGAAACAGTCTCTGATTTTAAGAAACTATAACTACATACATCAAATTCCCTTTGATTTGTGTGGTAGCTAACATCTAAATGAAACTGATTTATTTGAATGAAAAATATTATTTAATGAACCTGACAGCAAATAAAGTCATTTTAAGGGTTACTGAAAATAGATTATTAATAGTGAAGTAATTTCTGCGCCACTAGTGTCACCAACTTTGCGGGAAAAAAAGAAGTACACTTTAGCTTTTAAAGAGAGTACTTGTAATGGAAATAATTGTGTTTAAAAGAACAGGTGTGAGGTGAATGTAATGTTTTCAGACACTTAATTGCATGTTAATGATATTGTATTATAGTTTAAATTTATATTAAAATCAGTTAGCTGAACTGTTTTTTCGACCCACTTACTGTATATGTAATTTCATAATTACTTCTGTTGTCTTTGAAATATGGTTAAAGTGTACTGCCGTATTAAAATATAGCCTATATTTGTAATTATACCATTTTTAATGATAAAGTTGTAATTTAGTACATTCAGATATATTAACTTGTCATAAAGTTACAAATGGCTTAATTTTCTGCATATTAAAAAGGGATAGGAGAAGATATTTAACATTAAAAAATCACTCTTCACCCCCTATGGTACAATAAGAATGGTCTTTGTTCACTTTTTACAGTGTGGTTCACTGCAGCCTCTGGAACAAATAGCACTTTCCTGGAGGTAATTTCAGTCATATTAAGATTAATTAAGGTTATAAATTTAGCACTCAGTGAATAACGCTGTTGTGATTGCAGTGCTTTCAAAAATTACTCTAAAATAGTGTTTTGCTGGAAACATTTAGCAAAAATAGGACAGATTTAATCAAATAAATAGAGCAGTTCTCCAGGGATTGAAGCAAATCAAAAGATGTGTGGTTTAACAATACTTATTTGTGTATGTGTAGACCCAGATCCACCAGATAATAACACTAAGAGCTACGGCATTATGGCTTGGTTCCAACTGACGTGTCTCTGCTCAACTAATGAGTTCAATAAGACTTTACTGCTGCAGAATTGCACAGGTGCCCTCTGGGGAAATATGATACAGAATTTTTGGATTACTCAACGTAAAGCCGTATCAGCCAACTTTGGTGTCCAATCTCATTAATCAGCCTGACAAAATTGTTTTCTGCTGATCTAAGGTCAGTATCCTGACTTCTCTCATAGTTTTAAGACTTCCAGAACTAGAGTGTCTGGATCTGGCATTTAAAAAGATATTGCGAGACATGCACTGACACAGCCCCTGCTGGGAAAGCCGTGAGAAACATCACTTCACTGTAGACAGTATGGTGTAATTTTGGGGGATTATTCGCTTTGTAGTAAATATGATTTGTTGTGACTAACTTAAGCTGCCAAAGGCCTATACACACACAAACCGCTTGTGCACACTTGCAAGGGACTTCATTTGAGATGAAACGCCCATATGGTTCATTGGTTCATTCTTATGAAAGTCTGTTTACCTTTCTTTGACGAGATATCAGGGGCTGTTTAATATCTGCAGTTCTTAGGTCACCGTAAGGACGTTTTTCATGCTTACGAAGATGTGGTACTACTCACACAGTCCTAAGGAAACAATCACAATTTATTTTTCTCCCAAAAAAATGCATATTTTAGCATATATTTTAAGTATAAATGTAATCTTTATAAAATATAATGTAGTGTATTACACACACACATATATATATTAGTGCTGTCAAACGATTAATCACGATTAATCGCATCCAAAATAGTTTTTGTTTACATCATATATGTGTATGTACTGTGTATATTTATTATGTATATATAAATACACACACATACCGTATAAATATATTTTGAAAATCTGTACATGTGTTTTCATATATATATATATATATATATGTTTTTTTTTGTTTTGTTTTTTACTATTTACTATAACTATAATAACCCTGGTGTGAATTATAAAAAACAAGTGTCATGTCATTGACCCTTCATTTGAAGTACCATGAGGCCGACATATTGTAGTAACTCACAAATTTGCGCCATAACTCGTTACTGATGTTTCAACCATTTAACTCTTCCACTCTCATAAACAGCAGATGGTTGCTTAGCTAGTCGTGGGAATCTACATATATTCATGAGATTTTCTGACAGTCTGATGAAATACACTAAGAAATCATCACTACTGTTTGCAAGACTGCAAAACATCACTGCTAATACATGCTTGTGTGAGTTAGAGCGAAAGCTTTTTAGCATGAATGCTGGAAGAGAAGATTGTGTTAGTGTGTGTGGGTGTGTGGGTGCATATTGTCTTGTTTTTAGAAAGCTGGTCGGCTGGTGTTACAGTAATTATGTTTCCTTCACAGCTATGAAGTCAGGTGGCACTCAGCTGAAGCTCATCATGTCATTCCAGAACTATGGACAAGCACTGTTCAAACCTATGAAGTAAGTGATATTGCAATCTTTCAATTTAGTGAATGCACGCCCAGTGGAGAACCAGTTTATTTCAGAATGTACCCTGCATACTTTCATTCTAAGTGTATTTAAGAGGCGTGGACTAAGTCTTTTGTGTTTCAACAAAAACATGTTGTTCTGCTTTTGGATGTTGTCCAAGATGATTATGGTATATGTAGATGTAGTCTTTCTACAGCTGTAAAATTTGAGAAGTATGTTAAAAATAGAATGAGGTTTACAAATGACACAATCAGTTTAAACTCACATCATTTTTCTAACTCTTAGGCCTTAAAGAGATAGTCCATCCAAAAATGAAAATTCTGTCATCATTTATTCACCCTCATTTCGTTCTAAACCTATATGTGCTTCTTTCATTTGTGGAGTAATATAAGAAGAATATATTTTGAAGAATGCTGGTAACCAAAAAGATATTTTGAAGAATGTTGATAACCAAACTGTTTTGAGTCATGTTCACTTCCATGGTATGGACAAATATACTATGGAAGTCATTTTGAACCTAAATGTTTGGTTGCCAACATCCTTCAGAATATCTTTTTGGTTACCAGCATTCTTCAAAATACACTTTTGGTTCCCAACATTCTTCAAAATATATTTTTGTTGCCAACATTAGTCAAAAAAATGATTTTGGTTACCAACACTCTTCAATATTTTTTGTTACCAACATTCTTCAAAATATCTTTTTGGTTACCAACATTCTATAAAATATATATTTTTGTTACCAACATTCATCAAAATATACTTTTGGTTACCAAAATTCCTAAAAAATATACTTTTGGTCACCAACATTCTTCAATATATCTTTGCTGGTTTCCGACATTATTCAAAATATCTTTTTGGTTACCAACATTCTATAAAATATTGTTTTGGTTACCAGCATTCTTCAAAATATCTTCTTTTGTGTTCTACAGGGAAATAAAATAACAAAATAGGAAATGCATACAGGTTTGGAATCACATGAGGGTGGCTAAATCATTTTCACTCAGTGATTTTGTAAAATGTTGGGGTGGACTGTCCATTTAAGCCCCCTTATTAGGATATTTAACAAAGCAAAGATAAATTGAATAAGCAGTTATTTACCTAAAAATCCCCATTAAAAAAAAGAATTCTTTAAGCCCCTAAAGACTGCATCTGAGCTTAATGCTTATTAGAGTAACTCCTCAGTTGTGTTCGGCATTTGTTGGTCGGCAGCACAAGCATCCATATGATCTTTCCTGGTGGGTAATGATCAGTCTGGTTTTAATTAACATCGCCAGGCGTACGCATTAATTAAAAACTGCGAGACACTATCACATGCTCTCGGGGATATTTGCCAGCAGAAGCTGTAACAGCCACACATAAAACAGGGCGGATCGACGGAGTGTGTCTGCCATATTCCCTCTGTTGAAGCAACACTGCCAGGGCTACCTGACTCATTTGTGATCAAATAATTGCTAGGGGATGCTTGATTGCTTCCACCCAGAGGAAAACCTTTTTCGTCGTTGTTTTCTTTGATTATGCTTTGTCATTGCCATCTGTGATTTCTTAGTCTTTCTTGGTGGGTACAGACACAAACAGTTGGTGGCTAAAAACACACACAGTTATTGCACAACAGTAGCATCAGGAGATGTGCAATTCACACACCAGACAAGGTGGCGTATGCATGTTTGGATTAGCACTCCCTGCTGAAAATAATGACTGGCTTAGGCCAAGATGAATTACTTCTGTTTTGATGTAGGGGTGTACAATACAGTATTGTGTAGAAATCTTAGGCAAGTCAGATGATTGTTTGTTTTTCAAGATGGTTATTTTTATCTTTTGCTTTAGTGTACCAGTAGGAAATTGTGATTTCCAAACAGTCCTTTTGCCATTAAAGGCATAGATCACCCAAAAATGAAAATTTGCTGAAAATGTACTCATCCTCAGACCATCCAAGATCTAGATGAGTTTGTTTCTTCATCACAGCAGATTTGGAGATTTCAGCTTTAATTTAATTTAGCTTTTATTTTAGTTTTCAAAGAGATGGAACAAATGAGAAACACTAAATCCGTAATAGCTGTGGCAATATTTCCAGGACGCTTGGAGAAATATACCTGTAAATATACCTTATAGGTGCTTTATGTAATTTTTTGACTGTACTAACATATAAAAACACTATAATACATTTGCAGATATTTGGGTAACATGCTAAGTTCACATACTTGTTTCTCCGAAAAACAATGCTACAGCCAGTTATTCAGCTTTGAAAATCAGCATTCCGTGTCAGAATGTCTGTTTTTGTTTTGGTCTGTGTGATTCCACCCAATTACAGTTTACCCAATAATATGTCGACAGTCTGGGTTGCCAGTTTGCAGAAGCATACTGCAGCCATGGAAGCGAGCAAACGAACTGGGTCAAAGATTGCAAATTCTACCTGATTTAAAAAGCTTTGGCATCCATATTAAAAGCTGTATGACCAGAGGCATGTTAAAATCAACTCATCAGTTTACAGTGTAAAGTTCGTCGCCTTTAATTGTCAGTTGCGCTCGATCGTGTTGCATGTCCTCAATCTGACAACCCATGTGAGCATTGAGTCTGAGGAGGAGGGGGAGAAACAATGTTTTTAATTTAGATCGCAGTACCCATTTAAAATACTAGCCGTCATTATTACATACTGCACTTTTAAAATTGTGTGCAAGTGTACCAAGGACAAAAGCTGTTTTCAAAGCAAAGGATGCTCATAACAAATGTTGATTTAATTTAGTTATTTAGTCATGACTAGATCTGAGAAGGTGATCGCTGTCTCTTTATGATTCAGGAGGAAATCTTGGTTTGGATTTATATGATACATATTTGCTAGGATAACTTATGCTATCGATACAAAAAACAAACACTGCGTATTGCATGTTTTCTGTTGGAAGCCCAGCTTTCATCTAGTTCTCAAGAAAGATCACGAAAGGAGACAATATTTTAGTGGAGTGTTTAACAATGCAATGTAATAAAAGCAATAATTAAATAATAATTTAGACAGAGACAACAACTGACAGATTAGACTGACAAACACAGAGTTCTCTTTAGCTGCATTTCACAGTTTTGAGCAATTATACTTATGGAAGTGTTAATTAACTTTTGGCATTCATGTAACCCTTGGCATTCATTTCTCCGTTTATGCTTTGAACGATCACTGCTAAAAAGCATATACCAAGTACTAAGCTTGAAGAATCATCTGTTCATCATATCATTGACATGAATGGCCTTCCATATGGTCCCACTCAAACCACTGAACATCCAGAGCACACGGCCACCCTCACCGCAGCAAGCAGGTGCTTTTTCATCCCAAATAAAGCTGCAGGTTTCCCCCTTTTCCCAGGCTCTACATCTTTCTCCCGCTCCGAAAAGGCTATAGATTTCTCCAGCTCTAAAAGCTGGGAGTATTTCCCAGACTCCCCATTGACGGCACGGGGCCACCCTTTCCCTCACCTGCCCCTCTTTGCAGCCATACTAAGCATCAAAGCTTCTTTTGATGTGCTGCTGCTTTGAGCAGGATGCTAATCTATCTGCAGGTGCATGGAGGGCTAACAGCTCTGGTTCCAGCCGTCTTAGAAAGCTGTGTGTATGTGAGAGGAGTTTATTGAACTTGAGTTATCTGACTGGGATCTAGGTGCAAATGCAGCAATAAATCATTGTGCAACCTTTCACTCTACCTTCTCCATGTTCATTCAGAAACCAGCCGGTGGGACTTGTGCCATGGAAAAGCACTCATCCCATCAAAATGCGGAAGGAGTAGCTGTATTTTACAGGAAAGCCATGCTCACTGAATGGTTTAATTATTCCACACCACAGCAATGAATGCTACTGATCGCCATGGAATGAGAAAGGAGAGAGAGATACGATTAGAAAAAGACAGAGAGACAGAAAAAGCCCTTGTGAAAAAGAAGTGCACATTTAAAAGGAGAATCTGTTACAAAAATAATATACTTTTTTTTTTTTTTAATACTCTTAAGTGTGAACTGAATGTAATGTTTTCAGACATCCTGGATTATAGTTTACATTTATATTATATGAAAACATTTTTATATCATGCATTTAATTATATTTGTAAATATAAATTTGTAATAAAGAGGCAGTTTACTACATTTAAAATATATTAATTTTACATTTGCCAATTAACACTACAGTTAAATTTATAATCAAGTACTTCACATGTGTTTTGTATGTTAGTCAACACAGCAAAATAAGTTTACTTCTTAAAAGCATGGCAAAAGAATAATAAAACAATGATTTTTCACACTGTACTTTTAAGTAAAACTGTTAATTTGCCATTACTACAAAATGTTCTTTAAAAGTCTACTCAAGTGTGTTAAGAAACAGCATACACTCTTTAAATACAGTTAAGTGGCTTTTTATTTCATTAATATTATAATATCTGCAAGTAAGTAAGTTTTTAAAAATGTATATTAAAGATTTTAAAAAGTGCACGTTCAATACAAATAAGTTCACTTCTTTTCACAAGAGAAGGAAGGAGACAAGTTGTTGTTGGGGTAGATTTACAAACTTGACAATCAAGATTCCATCCAGTGATCCGTCAAATTACAACAATGAGAGACTGTGATTCAGATGCTGAGATTGTTTGCATGTGTTTGCACAACATGATTTACCCAGGACATGTCCCTGAAACAATATCTTTTGTTGTTCATGTAACAACATTCTTGTCAACTAGTGCTAGCATTAGCGCTAACCCTAACAATGACACTTTAACATAATTGGTTCATGGGAAAGTTCCTCCAGGCATTTCTTCAACAACTTTAAAAGAGGTTCACTGTATTTCATTAATTTTCAGGGTATGTTCATTGTCAATTCATCTCACACAACCAGATTTTCTTGTGCCACCCCTAGCAGTTAGCCAAATAACAAATGTTAAAACTTATATCTAAAAAACGTATTTGTCATATACCTTTTATGTCTAAAATAGTGAAAAATAATGATGGATGATTTTGTCAACGTATGTCCAGGAA